GTGGCCCTTAGGAACTTGCTAGTCTTGCTGAAGACCAGATGAGTTGCTGAGGTATTTGCAGAAAGGCTTTGTATTTCATGTAGGTCAAACTTTGAATGCACATACACAAGAAAGTAATAACAAGTGAGTATGTAAGGCTGGCAGAATTGGTTCTCGAGATAACTATTGTAAAAGATACAATGGATGCAGGAGCTGTTCTGCTGTAGCTTTGCAGCAGGATACCATTGTTAATTTGAAAACAGATTAAGTAAAATTGCATAAAATCCCATCGACTGTTGAATTAGAACTTCTGCACCAGGAGATAATCTGCCAGGGGGATCCTGCAATAGTTGTTTTCCTATCTAGAAAAAACATGTGAATACAGATCAGTGTTTTCTTTTTCCTCTTGCTCTGTAGGAGCTAACAAAGGGAAGTGCTCAGGCACATAGGCATTTACCACCTCCTTTTCATTTGGGCTCCCAATAACTGGTCTGCAAGGTTTCCGAGATGAAAAGACTAAAGCCCCAAGACAGAAATTTCCTATTTTCCAGGTTTGAGGACATGTGAGCATGATTTTGGTTTTGGTGTTTTTTCTGTTGTTGTTTTGTTTCAGTGGGTTTTTTTGGTTTTGTTTTTTGATAGGTTGGTGCTGATATGAATAAAATTTCCCTAGGTCCCCTTAACTGCCTGGGTGTGTATTTCTGCACGCTGTTAGTATCGCCTGCCTCAGGCAGTACTGCCTTCAAAGTCCTGTTACTATTTCCCGTGAGCAAGTGCTGAGATGCACTCTGCTCACTCAAGCACTTCCATTGCTGCATGCCAGTGAGCCAATTTCTGAGGACAGTGTGATTGGGAAAGTGTATTTTAGGGTCCCTGATGGAAGGTCTGTGAAGCTCCTGAGAGTCACAAGTTACTGTTTGTCCCAAGCTACTGTTTGTCACTCACATGATATAGATATCATATGATATAGATTTTTCCAGCTGGAGAATATTCTAACAGTTTATATTTTCCTACCATTCTATTGCTCTGATTTTCTCTTCTCTGTGTTGATTTTTTATTCTGTCCTTTTCGGTTTTCTTCTCTTTCTACACCTATCCCAAATTTGTGAGTCTCTATCTATACGGCTCTGTATTAGAGTGTTTCAGAGAAGGGGAAACTTTAATGCTAGGACCTTGGAGAGCTGCTCCGTCTGCTCTCATCTGTCATTAGAGATTGTTAAATACCTACTGGCTTGCTGAATGTTTAGTGCATGACGAGTCAATGTTCGTGTTTATAATAGACTCTCAGCATTACATGCTACAGGAAATCCTGTGAAAGAATTAACAGCTCTACTTTAAGTCCATGGTTTGGGTGTGGTGGATTGTAAAATATGACAGAGTCCTGTGACTCTTGAAATTCATTTGAGCAATGAATATGAAGTGTCAATAGCTGCCTGCTAGCTAAGCAGAGCACATGGTATATACTGGTATGAGGCAATTTTGGAATGAATTATAGTGGAAATGTAGTGTGTCACAGTGTAATTACAGGTTCTATCATCTGTCAAGTTTGCCAAACAATTGCTAGCTTTGTTCACTTTTTAGTCTTTAGGACAAATTGGAGGGGGACAGTTTTCCTTAAGCGAGGGAAAAGCAAGGAACAGTGTGTAGTGTATTAAAGAGTGTAAAAGTATGGAAGATATTGCATTTGGATGAATCACACTTACAGGAGTGGTGAATTCAATGAGCCTTCTATTCAACTAGGATGAGTACAGCTGTTTTTACAATTACGTGTAAGTGCAGAAGTGCAAGATTCATCTGTTAATTGTCTGCATAAAGGTGTTCTTTAAACATACGACCTATAAATAACTCTTACTGAGAGGACTCAAAGGAGGAGGATGTTAGCTGAGGGGGTCATTAAAGGCATGGTGGTTATCTTGATGTAACACATTTTTTCTATGGTTACATCTTTACATAACCCTCTTTAATCTAGATGGAGAAAGCTCATACATCTGCAGTTATGTTATGAATTTAAGTTGATGCACTTTTTGTTAAGGCTCTGTCAAACATGCAAAAAGCTAAGGGATAAACCCTTAATGAGCAATGATTGCAGAAATGAATGAAAACAAAAACGAATGGTACTTTCCAAGTCTCATCCCAAACAAAACTGTTTAAAAATATCCCTTGTTTCATTTGTTTTTTTTTTTTTTTGTACAGGAGTATAGGGTTGCATCCTGATCCTTTCAGATTTGGAATTTTCTTTGCAGTTGTCTTTGCTTCCCATGTAATTGGTGAACTACTCACCCTTGTGATGCTTGGGGTTATTCAAAACCCAAATATAGTCCAAAGTGGAGTGGTGCTGCTTAACTCAGCAGGTGTGGTAGTGGGAGCCGGACTCGTAAGGTAGGAAAACATTTTACTTCATGATGGTGTTGACGTTAAAATACTGCTAGATGAGTTTCAAGAAAAATCCGTATTGCTTCAGAGCAGTGATGCAGAGGAGAAAGGGAACAAAAGTACAGCCATTATCTTCAGAGAGGAAAAACTATCTAATCATGTTAGACTTTGTACTAAATACACACACACAAATAATAACTTTAGATATCTGCAAAGATATTAAAATGTTTATTTATTATTGCAAAATGGCATATGACTTGGAGATAAAATTGAGCAATTCAAATCTATTAGCTCAGCTGAATTCTTTTACTTATGCCAACATGATCGTACGAAATGCTGTCCTTATTAGAGAATTCTACCAGAAAAAAATCCTAACAGTTTTAATAATTGCTGGAAGTTTCACACATTAGTGGTTTTAGAAAAAAAAAAAAGTCGTTCTCAACAATTTTATTAATGTTCTTCTCCAGTTTCGTCATTCAACTTTTCAGGTTCCTTTTTTAATTTGTGTAAACTCAACTACATACAAATATTAAATTAATAAATAGCTTAATAAATGTGAAGGAACATTACGAAGCACCAACAAGAAGTCAGGACTGAATGTTACGACGCTGTACCAATGTCAGAGAGAACTTTAGTTGCTGTCTCATTTAGCACTGAAATAAAACTTATGTTTGAAAAGCTGACATTTACAGCCAAGAATTCTTCCTGTAACTTTCCTACAACCAGAGAGATTGTTTCAATTTAGGGCAGAACTGGTTCTTGGAATGTAGCAAATGACAATTTAACTTCTCTGTTTCTTAAAAGGACCATAGAAGAAATGCCAATGCCTTTTCAAATACTCAGTTTTCTCACCTTTCAAAAATACAGCAGTGAGATTCTGGTAGTCAATGAATTTCATGGCCTAAACTTTACTTGTGGTAAGTATTCAGAAGTATTCCTTTCCTTCCTTGAACAACAAAATTGTCCTGATAACTTAAAGAAAGCTTGTTGTTTAAAACACCCTGAACTTTCTGATTAGGAAAAAATGTACTGTAATTCTGTATCTGCAAGGTAGATAAATTGTCCAACTATTTTTTTCAACCATTCCTCATTCTTTCAGTTTTCCATCTTTTTCTTCACCTGTTCTTTTATTCTCCATTTTGGAAAGTCAACTTTGCAGCCTACTATGTGTTTACCAGAGCACTTGCACAAATAGAGTAGCAATAGGAAGAGATGGTACAGGATCGAATGTCAGTGCAGGGAGCAGTGCACGTAGCACCCAACCAGACATTTCCTCTAACTCTAGTGAGGCTTCAGTTCAAATATATTAGCATGGCAAATATTGAGCAGCTTTGGTCTGTCAGGCTGTGCTTCAGTGTTTGTGAGCAAGGTAAGTGAAAGACATTACAGTCAGGTTGGAAGGATTAGAAGGATGATGTGAATCTGTCAACGGGGGGGAAAGCTTTGAGCTATCCTTCAGCCATGAGATATTTTGGGCTTTGCAGGCAGGTGCTTGTGCTTCTCTCCAAGGCTACATATCCTTCATGCACTATTTGTCATCAATCTCTCCTGCCTCCCTTCATTAGAAAAGTGTAGGTGGCAACTGTTTGAATACAGCCATAAAAACAACTGTTAGAAAATGACTCCATGACTTTGGTAGTAGTAATTAACAGCTGATGTTTAATGGGAATGATACATCTATCATACTGGCCAAAGTGTGGCCCCTCCAGACCCTTCATTTACTTGGTATGAACAAAACAGAAAGCTCTAGAGACATTTTGTTTCTTCGAATAATGTGGCCTAGATTAACTGCAGAAACACACGGTATGACTGTTCTTAACACAAAAAGGGTGGGAGCTGTAGATGTGGGCTTAATTCATCATTAAAATAACATTAAAGCCAGATAAGTTAAATGTATGAACCTAGATAGCGAAGCCTGAGTTTTAATTTTACTGATTAACTTACTGAAGGAATTATCTTTTTCTTTTGACAGATGGAGACAACGGTTCCACTATGATAAATGCTGCATGTCCAATCACTCGTGGCATCGAATTCATTGAACAAAACTTTCCTGGTGCATTATCCCGGTTCACAATGGATTTCCTACTGCTCTATGCTTTCCTACCTGTACTTACCATTATAGCAATCTTGAGCTTCAAAATAAGAGAGAAGATTATGAGCAGGCAGTGAAAAAAGGTAGCAGTACTAACAAAGCTTCAAAGCTTGATCTGCTGGATTTTATAAAGAATTTAAGCAATCAAACACATAGAAACACATTCATCTTCCCTTGCTTGATTCTAAGTAGACACTTTCTGTCTCAAAAAACAATGTTCTAACAAGAGTGTGAATGACTTCCTGCTATTCCTGGCATTCCCACCCCTTTTTCCCCAAATCAGCCATTCCAATAGTATTACAAGTTTTAGAGGACTTCTAAAATTTGATTTAGTCTGCTGATGCGTTCATTCTTCAACAATGTATCTAACGATGCTCCAATGTTTTCCATAGTACTTCTTTTTTTTTTTTTTTTAAGCTATTACCAATAAGCAGAGAGCTAGAATTGCTGAGTAAATCTAGAATTGTTTTGTTTTTAAAGTAATATGCTTTGTTTTGTTACCATCTGTGGGTAACTTTAGAAAGAGAACAAACCAAATATTGTAATAAAAGACAGAATCAAGAAATCACTTTAATCTTATGCATCCCATCCAACCACAGCATCCATGAGTACAAGAAGCAACTTTCAGCAACACAGAAGTTACAAAATGCTTTTGTTTTGTAAGCAATGCCAGATCATAGTAGGCAGTTATGTTATTTGTATTTGCTCTTTCTTCTCAGTATTCAGTTCTAAATCTTGTTTTGGAAGCAGTCTGTGAATTACTAGGGAAAAAAATTGTTTATTAATAAAGTATCAGTTCAACTAGGGAAAAACGTATATACGAGTTGTCTCCCTTTTCTTGAAAGAGATGTTATTTGCATCTTTGGAAATCATTCTCATGGGCTCACTAACACATCAAATGGGTTCATTCATCCAATTAGTAAATAGAAATAAGTAATTCTCAAAACTGAAAGCCTACTAGATGCAAAATTCATAAGCTTTGTTTCATATTCAGTGAAAAAATTATGTATTGCAGAGTTAAGTATACTTGTACCTTAAAATTCCATAGTAAAATAATTAAATTTTACAGCTGTAAGATAACACACATTTTAACAAGTATGAAATCCCCAAGTTAATGCAAGCTTTTCACTTAACTGTGAGGCCAAGATTTTCTTCTAATTATCTTTATGTATAATATTCCCAGATACAAAAGTTACATGAACAAACAATTCAATAAACAAATACATGAAAAAATATATCTAAAAGGATGGATCGATACCAGGTTAATGTGTCTTTGCCATTTTTATGCCCACTGATAGAGTTGTTTATCAGGGAATATTCTTGCATTCTGGTCTGCCAAGTCTCTGTTTAGGCCCTTACTCTCTGACTACAAGTCTTAGCTCTCAGAGCCATCTCTGATTTAACGCAGATTTGTCTTGCTTATTCTGACAGAAGAATCAACCTTTATGATACTGAAGCTGAGATAAAGAAGACTTACGAATTTTAGATCAGGCCAGAATTGTTTTTAATTCTATTTTGTTCTACACGTTTTTCTGGAACTACTCAAATAGGTCAAACTATGATGGAAATGCATTCTTAAGCTTTGATTTTGAAGATGCCTGGTGTACTTAACCATGCAGTTCATATTTTGGGTGTGAAAACTTGTATGCATTTGCACAGATGATTAGGGAGGCATTGGTCAAAAATACATTGAGTAATTTGTTACAAATTGTAAAACAGGTAGGAATGACTGATGCCACCTTCATATTCAAATCTTGCAAATGTGAAACTTAGTACACCGTCAGCAGTTCATCAATCAGGACCAAAATCCATTTCTTTCCAGGATTTGCAGGCATTTCTTTTGTACTGTTCAAGTTCCTGAAAAAGAAACATACACAGATATTAATATCCTGATGACTAAAATGAATAAGATATGTTAAGCACCTCATCAATTAAAGCATGTACGCAGATCAGTCACTGTAGAAAAAAATAACTAGATGGTTGTTATTTCTAACAAAATAATACTGAAAGTTTGGCATTTGATACATCTGCACTCACATAATGACATAGGGAGCTAGATTTATTTTTTACATTATTATTTACATTATTATTATGTTTTGCTTTCTAAGGCAGAAGAAAGTTGGGACCCTTTCTTAGATGTTTGGTGTGGAGAAGCCTAACTCCACAAACTGAAATGTATCATTACATGTATTTTAAGAACAGAAGACAGAATTACTGAACAAAAACTAATTTGTCACTTCAACCAAGTGTCCAAGTCAAGGCCTTTCAAGGAGCAAAATGGATTGGCAATTCCTTAAGAGTATGGAAAATAATTGTTTGTTTTTTTTATGCACAGGACTGAACTATTGAAATCTTATACACTGTGTTAGAAACCCCTACAGAACTGAAGCCAGATATACCAAGAATTTGCGTGATATACACATGGCAGATGTTCCCTTAGTGGCCCTGCTGTGGCCCCTGAAGTTGCGCTGCATTTTGTCTTTGCTACCTTTCACAATCTTGTCCAGACAGCAGCAAGCAGAAATGTATTTTGGAGGAAAGCAGTGGTTGTTTAGAGATCAACCCAATCTCTGGTATTGGATATTCATGGAAACGTTCATCACTGCTTGGGACTTTTCAGGAAGTGCAGTAATCAAGACAGACAATTATGCCATGCTTTTAATTTTTGTATTGGTGGGTTCTTTTTTTCAATTTGTAGTTCAAAAAAAAAAAGTTTCAGGTGCCACTGTTCAGTAAAAGCTTACATGTGGATGTAAAAGTAAAATGCAAAACCAATGTGGTAATTACAATTACACATCTTTTAGATGGTAATTAAAAGCAAACAGAGCCTCAAACTGTGGAGATATAAATAGTGTAAATTAGGTGTGAAGCATGGGGCAGTCTGTATTATGGGGTTCTTGACATCAGTGGAACACCAGCAAGGTAAGCAAATGACCTCTTGTCAGTCAAATAGTGCTACTGGGAATCCTTAAGCCTGTAACAGAAGGTTCTAGCAACACTGCAAAAACCAGTTTCTTTTTCAGGATTTTATAGCTTGGTGCATACTGTCAGAAATTGTTTCTGATTATTTTTTTCCAGCGAAAAAGCTATTTTAAATGCACTGTGATTGCTTTTTGTTGCTGTTAAGAGTGACAAGATTCTTGCTCTAATGAAATATCTTTTAGACCTAACCACATGCTATTTGCAATGAAAAAAGCATTCTATCTTAGTTAGAAGAACACATTAACTCTCTTTTAACTACAGCACGCACAAAAAATTTAATTATACTGGAACTTCTCATTGAGTTCAATTGACTACAGTTAACCTTAACACATTGTTGCTATGACCTACCTGCAGTATTAAGTTCTGTATTGTAAAAAATGTGCCAGGAAGGTCTTCCAAGGTAGTGATATCTTGTGTTTTATGTGTAACTGAAAAACAAAGCTAGATTCACGTTCTGAAACACAGCTGAAGGTCAGATTTTAAATGGGTTACCTGAAAAGCTTCTAAAAGCAAATGTCTGCATTTAGACAGCTCTATGATCTGTCAAGATACTGAATCAGGCTGTGCAAACATACTGCTGTGAATAGGACTAAGCAGGCAAAAATTCTGGCTTTTATTAGTTGTTTCCATTGTTTATTGAGGAATTCATGCTAACAGCAACCACTTCAAGAGAAGCTTGAAGCAGCTTTTTGTATGAGCTTCAAAAGAGCCATGCTAATTTAGGAGTAGTACAACTCTTTCAGTAAGATTTCAATGTATTTCTATTCTTGCTCCTAAGTTTACTTAAAAACCAGGAGCGCCTCTTCTCAAAATGCTTTAAGCAGAAAAGAACATTCATCCTTTTGGAAATTTACTCTCAAGCCAAAAAGAGAGACAAAATACAGATTAAAATTATCTGCCAAAGCAAATAAGAAAAGTTAGCCTCCAGGAGTCACAAACAATATCGTCTGTGCACTTATGGTTGAAGTAGCTTGGGATGATGAGAAGAAAAATGGGAGGGGGAAGGATGGAAAAGGACTGAACATAAAGCAGTGGTAAGTATAAATGCAGTGGAGATCCTCAAAATTGCTCAAGTGTTTAACATGAGCGACAGAAAAATCATTGCCTAATAACTGTGAGGAAACTCTAATGAATTTTCTCTTTCAGGTAGTAATTTCAGCAGCTTCACCAGCAGTGCAAAACTATCAGAAAGCACCACAGGTTTCTGAGCAGTAACAGGATTTTTTAATTAGTACATATCCTTCTGATGCTTACAAGAGTTGAGCTTTACAGTTTACTCACTGATGACTGATGCAGAACAAACTGTGTCTAAATGTATTAAGTTGCATTATTAAATACAAGTCCCGTGAGACTGCATGTTGTTCCATCTTTAAGCCAGTCTATACTCAGTATTTCGTTCCCTCACTATTAATATAAAGTAACTGCGATCTCAGAACGTTCGGAACTGGCAGCAAACCTCCAGCAGTTTGGTAGTAGAAGTAGAGAGAATACAGGGATATTTTGAGAAGTACATGTATCCTATTTGATGCTAAGAAATTAACTTCAGTTCCAACAGCTTTCTCAAATGCTACAGAAAGGGGTAAATACATCATACAGATCAGATGTGCAGAATTAATAATTGCTTTCAGTGTGCTTAGAATGTTTTAAATGTTATTGGTGTGCCAGCAACTTGTCCTAAATGCCTCAACTCTGGCTAAAAGTGAATTTTTTTCCTTTCTTTTATATATATTTTTAACCTTACTGCTTCTGTACTTCTGTGTTGCTATAAATTCTTCAACTGTCAAATGGGGAAGATCCCAGCTATCTCATAAAGGGATTGAGAAGAAAGACTTAACTGATGTTTGTGAGGCACTCAGATAAGATAACATTACCACACATCTTAGAGAAAAAAATTAATACTTTTGTGTTCACTGAAGTGTCTGAATGGCAGGTTGAGAAATAAGGTACACAAAGAATGAGTATAATGAAAAGAAATACTGAACAACTGAACTGAGACATCAGCAAAATAGTACATGATCATGTAATTAAAGACAATACTGTAATGTCTACAAACAAGGAGTAAAATTACGATTGCAGGAAAAGCTTTAATTGTTTCATTCCCTCAGTCCTAAGAGACTGGCATTGCAACTTTAACTGTCTTTTTAAAATATGGTTTCTGACTGAACTTGCTCTCAGTCTGTAAGACAGTAAAAAGAAACAAGTACTAGGATTAAAATAAGCAATTAAGATTCAGCAGAAGTTTAATAACTGCTCTAATAAGGCTCTTAAACCAACACTAAAATGCCTGTGTTGTACCCACTTGGGTATGTTTTCATGCAAACACAAAAAAAGCTTACTCTTGGCAGCTGTATCAGCACCCTACATAACCTTCCTCTCATGAAGACTAGCATTTCTCTGGAGAAAAGGAAAGATGCTCCTGCTGTAACGGTGAGTGTCACAACCCTTTGCCCACTAACACTGGACAGGAGGTTCACTCCGCAGCATGAAAGCTTCTATTTTGTTTAATCTGAAGTGCTCTCCTGAAGTTCTGCAATATGCTCATAGCAGGACAAAATGCTGAGAAAAATATGGCTGGTTCTCACGTTGGCCAATATGTGATTAACTGATCCCAACCACAATCAGATACCGATGGGGTGTGACTAACAGTGTCAGATCTGACACCAAAGATGACACCAGTTGTGAATGACATGGTTCATTAGCCCGTTATTGCAACACAGGACAGATGTTTTAGAACCAAATAAGTGAGTGACATGGTTGTTTTTGATCCAGAACCTAAAAAAAAAAAAAACATAGTAATAAGATAAATCTACAGATAGACAAGTTTGGTGTTTGCGTGACTCATGAGAGGATTAGCATCAGGATGTATTTCTAATCTTCAGATAAATTTTCATAGTTTTATTTCTGCATATTTCATACGTTCAGTGTTGCTTATTCTGCCCCAGCCCTCCTTTCTTCTGTTTTACAGGTTTACAGCCTTGTTCTTGAAGATATGCTGCCATTACTTGTAAGCTGACATTGAAAGACACCACCTATCTACCAATCCCTAACTGGGAGGCTATCCAATTCCTTGAGCTCGAGGTTACCTTTAACATTTGCTTCTATGAATAAAGCTACAGTTAAGTGTCCAGATAAAAGGAGTTTTTATCCTTTATGCAGATCTCAAAAAGGTCCTAGATGCTGCATTCTCTCAGAGAATAACTCCAGAGCATAAGAAAAGTAGTAAACAATTACAAGAGCATTACTTGATATAAATCTGCAAGTAATAGCTATAGTTTAAAACTAGGAAAAGAATTCTGAAAAGACATAATTGAGAAAGGTAGAGAGTATATGTAGAACGAAGGTACAGTGTGGGAAAGGTAGCCACAGAGCTTTCCAGAGCAAAGAGGTTCAGTAATAGGGTGGTAAGTCTCATCCTTAACTCTGAAAATAATAAGTAAGCAGAATATTCTGGTCTAAAAGAGTGTATCCTTCTCACAGCTAATTTTATATTAAGAATCAGCACTGCCGATGCTGAAGAGATGCATTTATTTCTCCACAGACCCCAGCTGCACACAAACTCTACAAACTTGGAAATCCCTGGAGAGAAATACATTCTGCAAACCACATGGATTTATTCAGAGACTGGCTGGTGCTAGGGCAATTCCTCACAAGTGGAAGGTAATAGAGGAAACAGCCTTGATTTTATTAAACTTTAAATTGCTATGGTTATCTATGAATCAACCACGAATCCCACCTAAAGCCAGAATTTCAGTCAGGTATGCTAATTATTTTATCAGATACGCAGACAAGACGCTATTTTATTTTTATTGTTACAATATTTCTGTGTTTGTTTTCCTTTAAAGCTTATCTTTGAGATAAACAAGCAAACCGACAGTCCAAAGTGGCACATTAACAGAGTGTGTCCAGGAAAGTAAAATGAGCTAAAATGATTTCAAAATGTACCCTGGTATGATACGAAACTTTCATATTGCATTATGATTGCATTAGCAACATGCTGCATAATAAACATTTCAGTATATTGTTCTTCCTAAATAACAGACAGTATGAAGGTCCAAAAAGTAATGCCAGACCTATGATGCATTTAATGTTTTCCTTTAAAAATTGGACTTTTGTGCCACTTTTCATATAAGTGGAAAATTAAAGATATCTCAAGACTGTTAACTACATAGTTGGTTTTTTTTTTTTCTTTTTTTTCTTTTTTTTTTTTTTAAAGATGTACATTGCTATCTTGGTGCATTTCAAATTGAATGACATTCTTTGAGAATAAAACATTTTAATAATGCGCAAATAATCTTGTAATAATTGAACTTTATGATAGAGAAGTTTAGAAAATAGGTGCAGATAACAAAAGTAATTTTCTCTTTAATGCTCAAATTACTTGTAGTGGTCCAACTAAAAGAAACTACACTCGCTTCCAATGCCCTTGAACAGATTAATGTTCTAAAAGCTTTTCTCTTTCGTTTAAAAACAGAAAATTTAATAATTTCCTGCATGATTTAATCAACGCATACCAGCAACTTGTTTTGCAAGATGTTACTGTTATCTAAAAATAACTTAATATGCCATATAGTTATACTGGATATTAAGATTATATTATAAATTCCAAAAGCAACGTGCTTTACAAATGTTAATGATTTCTAAGACTGCTTTTGATATAACAGAAATTCCGAACTGACGCCTACATTAACAGGACGTTACAGGTAATGTGCAAGTTTGAATTGCTTTATTCTTTCACATTATTAAGGCATTTCCTTGGATCAGGTAACTAACTACGAGGTTACAGCCTTTATGCAATCTAACCAAACTGTAAAAAAACCCAAAAAACTGGATAGCAGTAATAATGAAATACTTTGCTTTCTTTTACATTAATGCAAAAGGATGGGATTTGCTATGGTATTCTACAGTTAGTTGGGATGAACTGCAGTGCAGCTCAATAGAACTGCCTTTCATCTTAAGCAGGGTGCTCTGTAAAAGTGTGGGAGACCTAAATTGGTACAGTCTTTCTTTAAAAGGTCTCCTGCTCTCATCAGGTTAAACACCTGTTATAAAAACCTGCTTTAACCATAATAATTTAGTACACAAAGAAGTGAAATGAGAAGCAGATAGCCTACATATAACTTCTGAGAATTTAGCAACGTTTTTCTCAGTCATTCCAGTGAAGAATTTTCTCCACGTGGAACAAATGAATCTGTAAGAAATACAGAATTTTCCAAGTAAACATGCTATATTCCTTCCAAAAAAACCCAAATGTATAAGTCTTGGATTATGTTTGATCAACCCATACCTATGGTATTGGTAAAGCCTACGTTTCTACTTGTGGGAGGTTTTACCTTTATATTGATAAGGCAACAATCTGACCTTAGCCAATTCAACAAAGAATTTATCTATAAAACTAATTTATTTTTAGTGCAATGATTCTGGAAGAGAGAGAGGAAATGTTTGAATTATTCACTTCTAAAGTGAGCAGCCAAAACCTGGAGATCTAAGAACACTCCACCTGCAATGTGTCTACCTTAAGAAAAAAAGCCAACAACATATCTATGTGGAAAAGAGTCCTTGAAGTAAAGTAGAAGTTATGTAAAGACAAAAGGATGATATGAGTATATTCTGCAATTACTTCAGCAATGCTGCTGTTTCTGGGATACCTGATTGTGAAGAGGCATTGAAGAACAAGCACACACCTGGTTTTTCTGAGCTCTCATGACATCAACTTCATACTCAGCATACTGTGAGTCCTGTGCAGGGTCCTTGCTGTCTTGTAAATCACTGAAACTCTTAGAGGAAGAAATAAGAGAAACACACAAGGTAAATCTTCTGTTACTTTACCTTCTGTTCCCTTTACAAGAATAGGCAGTGATATACATAAGATGGAAGCATTTTGTTTGTAATAGAAAGGTATTAAAATCTTGCATTTATGGACAAAAAAATGCACTGTGGGATATAGATCAGATAAAGCAACACAATTTATTATCTTGGTTTGGTAAAATTTTAAGAAAGTAATGGTGCAGAGAAAAAAAGCAAAAATCCTTTCTGGCCCATGACATTTGGGCATAGTTAAGGATATGCATCTCAGTGATTTGAGTACTGAAGAAGATACCTCATTTAAGGCTGCCAGAAGCATTATTTCAGTATCCATGAAACACTTCATGAGTTTACTATTGTTTTGCCTGTTCTGAAATTTCATTTACTAGACTTCAGAGAATGATACATTTAATTCCACAGAAGAAAATACACTAACAGCAAACTTTTAAATAAGGTTTTTCCAGATGTTGTGCTGCATATTTCTCCACAGTCGTAACGAATGGAAAGTAGCAGGCAGCCAACCATACAAATAACAGAATAAAATAAAACAGAACTAAAACTATCATAAAATGAAGTGAAGGAAATTGTCATTGTACTGAAACATCTTTGAAGCTTAAAGCATATTTTGGAACTAAAACAGAAGAATGGAAATCTCACTGACAGAGCTTGCAAGATGAGAAATGTATCTGGGCACATCTAAAAATGTCTGTGTCAGCTGTACCCTTAAGTGGGGTAAAATCTGAGTAAAGGATTGCTACTCTGAGTTATCTTACCCTTTAGAAAGGGCCAGGGATCTAACTTTAGAAAGCATCTGCTAAGGTTCCATGATGTATGGCACAAAGATGAGAGTAACCATTCTGGTTGCCCAGAAATAATTAGCTAAAGAGGCCACACAATTACTGCATTGCTTTCTGGCAGTCATATCTACCTGCAGATTTGAATAACTGGTACAGTGTTAAAGTTATGGTCAAAACTCAGTCCTGTGCAGGACTTCAGACACTGAATTTAAATATTCACATCCCATATCCAACAATTACCAGCTGTGCTGGGGAGAGATGGACAGCAACTGTATGGTAAGCAAAAGTTATGTGAAAAATAATTTTATAGTTTTGGAAAAGTAAAACCAGTCTTTACCGTATGGGTCCCACTGTACAAAGAGGTTACAAGAAACAGAACTCCCAAATGAGACTGAAATTCCAGTCACTGGACTGGAAGATCAGTAATATGTAGTAATATTACTACTATTCTAAGAGAAAAGGATCTGTGCAGCAGACATGTAAACACCTACCTTGGGAGGAAACGTCTTCTCAAACACCTTCTTCCACAGTTCTAAAGGTGTGTTTGCACGCATCTTTCCAATGTTGCTGTCAGAGGTGGGTGGTGGCCCTAAGGATCACAGCACAACACAACACAGCGTATGTTATCATAACAACTGATAGGAACTACTGACCCAGCTACTTTAATACTTCACTACTTTACCTTCTACAGTGACAAGATGCTACAAGTCTGGGAGGCAATTCTATATTACATTCTATATCACATTTTCTTTTAGATCAAAGCTTCTTGGTAGCTTACTACTTGAGGTAGTCCTGATACTTCAGTAAGTTACCTGAAGTAATTCTCAATAATATAAATACTGAATTGCAGTTTAAAATTTTCCACGCCGTTTGCTTCAATGATGAGTCGAAACAGCTAGTGTGCTTACCTTGTAATAGCTTAATATATGTTTCTAACTTGCAAAACCAATTAAGCAACAAACACAATGAACATCAAATGTCCCAACCTATTTGGCTCAGTGAATCCAGGCCTGCTGGGATAAATAGTGGTTTGCTGTGATCCACTGATATGGACTTGCTAAACAGAAAAAAAAAAACACATGTTAAGAGAACATTTAGTAATGAACTACTAATTACATTATCCTAGCTAAGAAGAGACTCATAGGGGGCTTTGCACAGAGGTATGTGCAAGCAAAAATCTATTTATTTATAATAGTGCCTATATTTCTATTCTGTCAGTTCAGGGAATAAAATCAAGAATTACCACTACTCTGTGCAAAGATGTTGTGGAAATTTATTCCTGTCTCAGCTGCACAGGAATTTTGCAGAGGTTATCTTATTGTGAAGAAAATAGAAGTTTTAGTCATCCAAGTGTTTTTGTTAAACAGTTTCATATACTCTAGGCAAGACATTTAATAGCTAGACAATCCTCGTTACCTTCTATCGTAGCCAAATGCCAAGTGATTAATAAGAGCACGAGCTTTCAGCAGGAGAGCCTCAGATTTACTGGTAAACTAAATGAATTAGAAAACAAAATATACATTATGATTTTCCATCACAGAAATACTGTGCTCCATCATCTGCATAGGCTATTTCAGATAGAGCTTGGCTAATTCCTGACCTCAAAAAAATTAGTGTATGCTTACTGGATTTACTACAATAAACAATTTAAACAAACATAAGCTGTTCAGCAACTAAAATAAGCCACTGCCACAAAATGGCTTTACAGAAATGATGGCTGATAAAATTATAACCACATTCTGATGTAAAGGAGCCTAAGAGGCAGCTGTTTTGGGTTGTGAACCTGATCATGAAGATTTCTGCCTTTACTCAGGAGATGATCTGAAAAACTCATATCAGTTTATATTCCCACATAAATGCTTTGTCAAGTCTCACGGTTCTGTTGTGTTGGTAGTTCCTACTCCTTAGTGTGAAAAAGTCCTTGGTTTTATTCTTTGCATGTGTGTGGTGATCTATGCTTAAATTGCTGCAAAGTCATGCCTCTGGAGCCAGGTTTTAAAATTTTCAGAAGCTTGCCCACTAGACCTAAGCTAAGTTCATGTTTCTACCAAAGAGGCCGGTTTGCTCATGTTATCCATCTAGATCACACTCTTATTCTTGCCTGTTTTATCACACCAACAAAAACTTTTATAAGCCGCGCAGTGAACTCAACATTAGAGCTGAGTTTGCTAACAGATAACCACATTTCTAGTTTTTTGCTGGCACAGGGCATTGGGCATTTTGTTTATATAACTTGTATTCATCCATCTGCTGACAGTACCTGTAACCTAGTTTACAAACTAGCTCATTAAGAAAGCTACTGCAAAACTAATTAAACTCTGTCTTCTCTAGGATTTTCTATTTCTAATTATTTAATATTTTGTAGCATGAGTATTACTCATCTCATTATTCCTTAATTAGTAAGTGAATATAAATACCGCCAGTGATGCTCCATAATAATGTGAAACAAATCGAAGTGTCCTGCTTATTATTTTCCTCATTTCAGAGTCAAACTCCTAAAAAAAAAAAAAAAAAAAAAAAGTTGATTTTGAAACACATGTAAGAAACAAAAAAAAACCCCAAAACATTACAGCTAGAACTTTTCTTTTTCTTTAAACTGCAACGCACTTAGGCTGCAATACATGAGGCGTTCAGCTGTCAGCATAATTATATCTTAAGACAGAATCAGTAACAGCCTACTCTGAAAAGAAATGTCACAATTTCCCTTTGTTTCTTTTTTTCAGAGGGAGCCTAATTCTGGCAATATGTTAGTCCAGAAAAGTTTTTAATTGGGAATGTGTATTCAATTTTCAATTAATTTATTTCACAGTTCTTGAAATTCTAAAAGCAAAGAAATACTGACTTGTAGAAGAATCAGCATTTTCTTCCTTTTTTGTGAAAATATTTAAGTTTCAGTAAACCTTTGGCTATGTGCTCTTTAAATTCTAATAACTATAAGATTTGAAAGTTGCACAAAAATATCATTTATGTTCCTTCAACACAAGATCATACAGATGGCATGCCCTGGATCAAGGGGATGAAAACCTGTCCCACTCAAGCTTGCAGCAGTTCGTCCACAGACTCCAGTGGAACTGGGCTGTCATTCCGTGTTCATTACAGGAGAGTCACTGGTTTTTAAAGTGGTCGGGGCTTAGTACAAAGCCTCAGTATGAAAGAATGCATGGTACTTATTAATAAAAATTAAGTAACTCTGAGGTGGCGTAGTACCAATGTACCATGTAGTCATCCAGGTAAGCAGAAGTTGCCAGTACAGCAGCTAAAACTCAAACATACTGTTCTAGCTTCCCATGATCAAGTGCTACTTGGAAAGTGGGTATGTATTTGGTTGGGCTGGGAGAGAACCCAGCAGTATTTTTTCCTCTCCCACCAAAAGATGCAATTATTCCTTTGACTGTAAAAAAACCTTTGAAAAAAGGTGCAGAACAAAATGGTAGCTTATTGTTGCTGCTGTCACAACTTTTAAAAAAATTACTTACATGAAATATATCGTATTTGCTTCCAATAATCACCAAGGGTATTGGAAAAGGGTCAACCAAGTCATAATCCTATTAAACAGATATAATGGTTAAGCAGTATAAGCAAATTACAGAAGATTATAACAGTTGAAACAACTGAAAAGGGTTAAAATTAATTCAAGGGAGACGAGGTTTATTTTTTTCCAGAACCTTAAGTAGAATGAATAAACTTCAATCCATGCCACGTTCTCCAAATTGATAGCAATGGATGGCAGTGGCTCTGGAGGTGTAGATATAACTTAGATGGTTAACATCCGGCCCAAGTTTTAATAAGCAGATAACAGTAATTCTCAAGTTATCTGGAAGGTTTTCATGTAGTCTTTGTGAAATGAGACAAATCCCCTCTCATTCATAAGATGAATTTGTCAAACTGCTTTGGTTGCAGCAGAGTGGAAAAGAAATATGTTGTAGCAGATCTAACTGTTCACTTCTAAAAGCATACAGACTAAATGACAGTTAGAGAATTAGCAAGAAGCTGCAAATAAATGACAGAGAATTAGCAAGAAGCTGCAAACATAGGAAGTCCTGTACTGTGAAGGCAAAAATAATTGCTGCATTCCTACACTGTCAAGGCAGAACCTCCTCTATAGTTTGTTATATAAAGTGCAGAACTCGAAAAAAAATGAATAACCAAAATGTTTATTCCTTAACTAATAAAAAACTAACATCAGAAACATTAAAACTGGCAGCCTGCCTATTTAAACGAGGTCTGCACTTGATACATTTCTTGTGTAAAAATCAGAGCCAACAATCATTTATCCAGAATAATGGAATATAACAAATCTTCCAAAATAGCAAAACAAACAAAAAACTCTAATCTCAGATTCCTAGCAATCCTGATTATCTTAAAAATGCTTAGCTATAAAAGAGCAAATAGTTAAACTGTAAGTGATGATATTTCCTCCCACAAAACTGACACAGAAAGTTTAATGAGAGCCCAGTAGTAACAGAACATTTTGTTTGTGTCTGTTGCTTATGATAATGAAAACAGAATGGAAGTTTTAGAAGGTGTAACTGTGTTTCCTGCAGGGTAACAAATCTTCTAAACCATTAGAGGCATTTTCCTTATTCTTATTGAAAAATGTTAGCAGTTTTCCAGTTGCTAAGCCCTTTTCAAAGCTTGACATTGCAGTCATGATTTGTTGCCAACTGTGCTTGTAGGCACAGTTTTTCTTTTTGTGAAATACCTTCTTAAAAATTAAAAGTGGAAATTATTATCCAGCAGAACTCAGACTCCATAACTCTCTTTATATTGCTCTCAACAAAAATGGAGAAGTTGCTTACCTAGCTCAAAAACTGAAAAGTATTTACTACATTGCAGCATTTTAGAAGTTACAGCAACTAGATTTATGTGCCAAGTCTTTGAACTGTTAAACACTTATTTATCCATTATATATACACAACATTTGCAGAGGTTTCATGCACAATGATTTTTCATTTCTATTGCGCATAATCTAGTTTGGCTTTTCCAGAGATTTAGTTAGCAATTATGTTTAAAGGACTGATGTTAACATTTCTGAAACTTTATAATTTAATTAGTTGTCAGATTATCAAAAGGCATTGAGTTTGTGATAGACATTTAAATAAATGCAAAGTATATAGTCATGTTGATGGCTGTTATAACTATATTCTTTGCTTAAATTTGTACCTTCAGCTAGTCTCTTGCTAGATGACTTTTGTACATTCTAGTTTTCATCTTCATTTTAAAAAGATGAGGGGGGAAAAAAAAGCAAACTGCTACTCTAAAACTATTTCTTTTGATAGGTGTAACATGCCATAACAATCACATTAGATATCTAACAAAAAGATATAAGAAACCTTCTTTCCTTGTTTCTGCTCTTATTGAATTTTTATTAAATTGCTATAATTTTCCAGTGAACAGGTTCATCTACATCAAATGGATTTTCAGTCATGCAGAAAAATCTAAAAGAGTTGTTTATCATTTTGAAAAGCATTATCTTTAACTGTATAAAGGCCCGTGACATCTGGAGAAAATATTAGAAGTAACTTACTGGATGATCCCTCTGTAGATTGTTCTGCATCTTCTGCTTAATTTCAGCAGCTGCTTCAGGATCTGCCTTTTCCAGTTTGGCTAAAATTTTATTCACGTGGTTTCTGGTGGCCTGCAGAAGATTCTCCATAGTCATCCAGAGTTCATTAGGTTTGGATAGATCCAATACGAGAACTACTGCAAATGACCTATTAAAAAAAGGCATTATCTGCTCAGATCCTCAGTGCGTGAGACAAACAGCCTTTTCCTTCACTACCATAAGTGTGGTACAAAGGCTGAAAGCAACAAATATGAAAATACAAAGGCTGAAATAGAATTGAATGTGACAGCAAAGAGAGATGGCTTTTAAGTGTGCCCCGAGCACTGAAGAAACCTCTCCATTGTCTCTTCTTCTATTGCTTCAGTAACTTTCCATCAGAAGTTTTAGGGGATTTTATGTCTCTGACTTTCTTCCTGGAGGCATTGTTTCCAAGCACGTCATCTCTGAACTCTACACTCCCGGCAGAAGCAAAGTTAGTAAACGGACAGAATCTTTATCAAACACAAACGCATTAGAAATTTCTATACTTTCATATTTCTTTGTCAGATTGCGTAGAAAAAGCTGGTTAAAGGAATGATCTGTCTGATGGATGGTGCCATTTACCAGGAACCTCAAATGAGTATATCAGAAAGTCTTCTGAAAGACAAATGGAAGAAGTCAGAGCACTCAAAGCACAAAACTACCAGGCTCCCAAGACTCCAAAAGCATTAGATTGTAAATGTGAAGGGAACATCACAAACACCACAAATTGACTAGATTTAGTCTTTTTTTTTTCCCATGTTCCATCATGACATGAAAAAGGGGATTCCAGACCACAGTGGTTATCAGGAATACAACAAAGAAAAACGAACATCCAATTTCACCTTCAAATGCTGTGGAAAAAATGTGATGAAAATTCTCTTGATGCAACTACAGTTCATGGAACTTTTACATAAGAAAATTGCTTGAGTACAGATGGATGAGAAAACTAGTGAAAAGCTTGAGACAGCAGAATTTTTGAGTAGTATGTTGAAGTTAACACAGATGATCTTGAAGAATAGTGTTGCTCTCTCATAAAACAATCTTAAAATTATCCTCATGAGAAGATTCCTTCTCATGAGCTTCTGAGGTGGAGCTCAGTTAAGTTCATTCAAATATTTGAAAAACAGGTGAATTTCCCCCAAGCCCATTCAGCACCAGGGTTTCTGGAAGTGTTTTTCTTCCATGTTAGTCCCTCACTAAACAACAGCATTATCTCAATAGTCAGAGCAGTAGCAATGTATGTAACAGAAATTATCTTTCCCATTATTGTTATTTTTCATAGAAGTTAAAGCTGATTACCAAAGAAATACAACAATGCATCATAACACAAAGGTAAAACACATCTTTGATCAGCACATTATTACTTCCCTGTGTTCATTCTCTTCTCTTGTAATCAATTGAACAATTTTAGTTCCTTTCCGAAACATCATCTATCACATCTGACCTTGTTCTTATCAGATGGTTACTTCACTTCCTAATAACCCAGTATCCACTTTTATTTGTAATTTTTTTGTCTCATCTTTCACCTTAAAATGCTGCTCCTCGCAGAGATAGTTCCTGTGTCTGCATACAAAAGCAGGGAACCAAATTTTTTTCTCTGCATCCCAAGTTGTTTTTTCTGCTTATTCAACAAGCATAAAAAGAGACTACGTCTTTTCTTTTTCTGCATTCCTTGTTCCATCTACTTAAGGCCAACCCATTTCCTTCATGTTATTTCTTTCTCTTGTTCTTAGAGACTGCTAAGAACTTGTCTTATTAGGAAAGGATTGTGAAAAGGAAGTTCAAAGCAGAGTACTGATGGTATTACCATGATTTTTTACAAAAAAAAATTCTCAAATATATTATCTAATATTTTGAAAGAATTTTCTCTAACAAGCAGTCTAGAGATTTACTTATGCTTGACAGGCAGCTGAAATTAACTTTGGAATTTTAATATTCATCATTTACCTTACGTTGTTGACGGTGATTGGTATTCGAATCAGTTCCAGTAACGAGGTTCCACCACCTATTTCCCAAAAATGAGCTATATCTTTGGGCTGCAAAATAGATTATGTTAGAAATGCACGCATTCATGAAAAGAGAGAGTGCTGGTTCTGATACACTGAGTTTTTGTGCAAGTGAATCAGAACAATATATATATATATATATAAATATATATATATATATATATATATATATATATATATATATATCAGCTTTTCATCCTTCTTTTTATTTACTGCACCTCAAGAGTAATGGTCTCAACTGAAAAAGTGATCCATCTTTACATTGGAACTTAGCTTCCACAGAAAGTTTCAAGTGATTTTTATCTCTCAGATTTTCTACTCCATGCTTCAGTAACAGCAACAACAACAGCAACTGCCTGCAGCAACTTGTTTCTGCTGGACAGTGCTGTGCAGTGATCAGAATGGGTTCAATATTCCCACAATCAGCAGAGCAAAGTTAGTGATACTGACACATAAACCAAAACTTAATTATGATTTAATCTCATCTACGATGAATATGTCTCTCATAAATCCAGTTGTAAATATCTTCATTGGTTTATACTCATTTCACACTTTAAAGAAAAAGTTCAAGGCATGCATCCTGTGCATCTTCCCTCCTTGGGAAGATAAAAATCACTCAAACATGACAAACAGGGTAGATTTCATAAATGAAACCCATTTCTTTGTGTTATACTTTGGTCTTTGATCTACTGCATTCTAGTGATAGGGAAAAATACATTTAAGATTAAAAAATTTTTAATAAAATGATGATCAAAAAAACCTTCTTTTTTCCTCCACAAATAATAAAGTAAAAACCTCCAAGCTAAGAATAACTACATATTACTGTATATATGTGCATGTGTGTGTGTGTGTGTGTGTGTGTAAAATAAACTACAAAACTACAAGCATAAACAAAACTGAACTTTCTGGGTACTCACTGCATTGTGTCTCCTTGCCCTTCTCCCGAAGGTATATTCTAAAACTAACGTTGGCTTTGGAATCTCTTCCCTATCCAAAGAAAAATAATTTCATTGACAAGATGCTCTAAATAAGTAAAGTTAATTCTACTTTTGTTATATTTATCAATCAGTTCAGAATTTAGCTTACAAACAGCAGTACGAAGAAGACACTTTAATACAGCAGTGTCTTTCTTCTACCAAAGAAGAAGAAAGAACAGCACCAATCTGAACATACAGCCATTTTAAGCACTCATATTGGAGAAAAGTACCAAAGGGGTCAGACAACACATAGTAGTGAAGGGAAGTAAATTCAATCTGCAAGCGATCAACTGGACACAAAAGACAATACCTGTATACTGGATTATGAATTATCACACAACATAACTAGTCCTGTAAAATTCTAAAAAATACACTGCAACAAAATAAAAAGGCTTATATCTCATTATCAAACCCCAGAGAGCAATCAACTAGATTACATGACTACCTCTACTAGTTAGATACATTTTAAACAATTCTCTTTTACTTCCAATTGTTCCTTATAATGTCCTTTATTATGATCAGCCTTTAGGTACCCACAGTTGAAAAATACTTAACACATACCTCTCAAGACACCTCAGTATGATAGTGGTCTTCCCCTGGAAATGAAAAACAAAGAACTCCTCTGCTGTAACATTATTAAGGCATAAGCTTTTATCACTAAATGAAACTAATTGATGTAATATTCCTATTATGAGGCACCTGAAAAGCGTAAAGTCATGTAATTGTTTGTAACTTTGTGATGGAAAACTAAATGCCAACTTTCTATCAGAATCAAGTTACACTGCTGTTCTAACTGCTAGTTAGAGGCTGTACAGATATCAATCCTTCTAAAATTAAAATTCTATTCTGAAAAGTAAATAATACTAACAGATGTCAGCTACAGAGTTACTAATCACCAAACCTCACAGGACAATGTAAAGGACAATGTTAGTAGTAAAGAAGTAAAACGACCTGGGTCATATGAATCCTAGAGTAACCTAATGCTTTTGGTTGGAAGGGAGATGAAGCCCATGCATTTCCAGCCCCCAGCTGTGAGTAGGGCTGCCCCCAGCTCAGCTGCCCAGGGCCCATCTAACCTGGCCTTGAGTGCCTGCAGGGATGGGGCACCACAGCTTCTCCTGGCAGCTGTGCCAATGCCTCATCGTCCTCTCAGTGAAAAATTTCCTTTCTTTCAGTTTAAAACCGTTCCCCCTCATCCTATCAGTATCTACCCACATAAAAAGTCACTCTCCCTCCTGTTTCTGGAACCACCACCTTGCAGCCTGTTATGATGTGTGCTCAGACCTGCCTGGTACAGACACAGTGCCCAGCAAGATGCCAGTGCCTGTAATCACAGCAAGGCTGGTATAAATGCACTTGAGTCTGTCTGTTCCCAGTTAGCTTTTCACAAGGGGAAACTTGACAGCCTCTCATTTCCAGAAGAACTGAGTGAACACCACACTTGTCAGATCTCTTCCCCAACAGCACCTGCGCTCAAAGAACGCACCCGATGACCACCATTACCCCGTTTTTGCTTCCCATAAACAACACTGATTTTTCCCAAACTTCCACGCGCTCGCCATCGTCGCCGGAGTGTTCTCTCTTCTCCACTTCGTCTCTAGCAATATCCCACAGAGTATCGCTGCTCGGGAAAACAGAACGGGCGCGCCGTTAGAGAAGAACAACCCGCCGCCCGGCAGGAGGAGGGCAGCCCCCTCCCCGCTTCCCCCACGCCACGTTACACCGCAGAGGCCGAATCTGCCTTTTTACAGCCATCTCCCCGCCCGCCGGCCCCGTGCCCGCACGGCGGCCATGCCGTGCCCCAAAGAGGCGGGGAAGGCCCGAAGACCCCTTCGCCAAGCTCCGGCGGGCCTCCCGCTCACCCGGCCTTGGGCATCGCCGCTGTCCGCCCGGGCCCGGCTGCCTGTCGCCATGGGAACGGCGCGGGGCGCCCCGGGAGCTGTAGTTCCGCGGGGAGAGGCGGAAGGAGGCGGAGGCAGCTCTCAGCCGTGCTCCGGTCCGGCCTCCCTCAGCCCTTCTTATAGGGGCTGGGCGGCACAGGGAAGTTTCTGCCCTTCTCGGGGTTGTGGGGTTGCTTGCTGGTTCCTGACACTTCGTTTTCGGGGCTACAGAGCGTGGCGAAGTGCCTTGTGGAAGTGAGTGCGGCTGGTGAGAGCAGGCTGAGGTGGTGGAATCACTGGGTGGTTTGCAGGTGGTGGTGTGAGCTCTTGTTTTAAAGCGGCACGCTGCTTCATCCGCGAGGTCAGGGACGGGCGAGCTGTAAATGCTGGGACTTGTTAACAGAACCGTACAGGATCCTGAGTTGAAGAGATCCACAAAGGTCACGGAGTCCAACTTCTGTCTCCACGCAGCACCGTACGAACGAAATTCACTTCCTATGTCTGAGAGAATTGTCCAAATGCTCCTTGAGCCGCAGTCCCTCCCCTCAGCTCCATGCCGTTCCCTCGGGCCCTGAGCAGAACTCAGTGCTGCCCTCCGCTCCCTGTGAGGAGCTGCAGCCGCCATGAGCTTCCTCTCAGCTCCTCTAGGCTGGATCTGGCTGCGTCTCGTACTCCTCGTCCTCCAGGTACTTCATGTCTTTGCAACCCCCCTTTAGACCCACTCTAAGAGCATTATGTCCTTCTTACACTATATCACACAAACCCGCACCCTGTGCCCAAGGGGAGGCAGTGCAGAGCAGGACGACCCTTCCCCTCGCATGGTGGTAGCAGTGCTGGGCCTGTGGCACCCCAGGGAGCAGCTGGCCCTTTGGGTTGTCAGGGCACACTGCTGGCTTGCATTCAACTTGCTGTTATGCAAAACTCCTAGATTCCCTTCTGCGGGGCTGATCTCCAGCCTCTCAGCCCCTAGTCTGTATATGCCCAGGGCTGCCCCGTCCCAGATGCAGAATCCAGTGTTGCTCATGGAAAATTCCTTGCAGTTGGTGATTGCCCAGCTCTCCAATCTCTCAAAATCTCACTTCAAGGCATCTCTGCCCTCGAGGGAGTCAACAGCTCCCCCCCAGTTTAGAGCTGTCTGCAAATGTACTTGGTATACCCTCAAGTCCTGGATCCAAGTCATGGACAAAAGCATTGAAGAGAACTGGCGCCAGAATGGCCGTTGTTTTCTAGTTTAATATTTTACTTCAGCCTTAGGCATTGTCTGTTAATAAACTCAGCTGCTGTGAAACTGTGGAATGACCTCATCTTATGAGTGGGAGGTAGGAAGGAGGTAAACCTGAGCAGACAAGTCACGAGTTTGGGCAGTCAGGGAAGTGACCCACAGTCCAAAAGAGCAACAGGAGCTGGCCTTCTGTATCTGAGTAGCTGCTTTGTGTCTTGAGAGAGCTGAGGTAGAAAAACCAAGCTTAAACAATCTCTTACCTACTGTTTTGATTGAAATTTGTAAATAGGCCTCACATGTAATGATTAAGTCTACTTAATCATCTTTCAATCTTAAAATGAATCTTTCAATCTTAAGTTACTTAAGAAGTAACTGCTTCATCCTTCCACATATGTTTATGTTGCAAGAGACAGGTCTCATGTAATATTTGCTCTTTGAAAACATTTTTTCTCCATTGTGACTTCCATAGTCAGACAGTTTCAGTTCCAGAAGTCTTAATCTGATTATGTTCCCTTGTCTCAATTCACTTCCTGCTTTTTACATGACTCTTCTAAGGCATTTGCTAACCTCTACAGAAACCATGGTATTGTTAAAGGAGCTTCTGGATTTTCATTACTTAGTGTTGTACCGCAGCATGTCTTCCTGATGCCTTTCTAAACACGTTTCTTCCGTAATTTTCATTTCCACGACACATTTCTGGTATCTCGCTATATGAAGCTAGTGCTTGACCTACAATTGGCAGATAAAAGGGGTAAAAGCCCTGCCAAAGAAAACAAAACTGATGTGGGAATGGCTCCTGGAACTGTGATCTCATTATATATAACTGCAACAACAGGAATATAACACTAAAAACCAAAGTATGTTTATAATTATTCGCTCCATGGCAGAATGGCGAAAAAACTGGAAAATGCTCCAGTACAAATCTGAGCTGAGGGCAAAGTAAAGGGTTCACACTTAATAAGCTCTGCTGAAGTCCAGTCTGGAAACGAATTTGGAGTTTTCAGTACTTTAAGTTTCTTCTTACTCTATTTCATTTCCTTTACTGCCCTAAGAAACTGGAAAATAATAATTTTTTCTTTCTAATTCTTTATCACTGAATTACTAATCACCTTAGTTAATTTTAACTCAACCTAATGGATCTCAGTGAAGCTGTATGGGCTGTTAAATCTTTACCTAAAAGTTTAACATATTAATTCCTTTATGCAAGGATGGTTTTCTTCCTTCAGGACCTAATGTGTAAAACCTATAATAGTTCGAGAAATAATATCAGCTCTAAGTATTTACCAGAATTCCTTTGTTGATAAATATATATTTTAAATTTAAATATCTATTAAAAATTAATAAGAAAATATTAATTTTGTGGACTGCATTGCTTTAGAAATGAGTGGTTTGCTTACTAGTACTGCCACACAAAAATTGAAAAGGCAAACTTAGAAATTCATATTGTATTCCAAATGCTATTTTCATATCAATGTTTTATACAGTTACCATTGACTGACCTCTCAGTCGTTATAGACCTCAGATGCATTGAACATCCCCATACAGATTTTTGTAACTGAGTGCTAGCTCAAAGCAAGCACAAACTGCCCTGAAGTTAGTGATGGAAGGTGAAGTCTCCTTCTATGTGCCAACATATTAATCTCATCCTGAATTATGTCTTTACAACCTAGGTTCTTCAGCATCAGTCCCAGAGGCCGCTGCTCATTTCACGGCTCACATGGTATCATTGCTGCTGAAGATTAGAAGGTAAGAAAGCTCTAACTTCCTGCCTGAGCTTTAGTCGTGCATTGGGTGGCATGGTGTGAATTATTTTGATGGATGATTCAAGGTTTGTGCTGAGATGTGAATCACTCATGAGGCTCAAGCTGGTGAGGGAGGCAGAATAGATTAACTCTTTGCCTGAAATTGTTTTTGCTGACTTACATTGTGTGGTATCTTCTTAGTAGGTCTGGGACTAGAGTAGCTTGCAGCAAGCTCCCCAGAGACTTGCACTACTCTGCAAGTTAAGCTGTTGAAGTGTGCTCATCTGTGTAAGAGATTGTCCTTGCGGATGTAGTTAACTTTAGGGGGAGTGTTTGCTTGATTAGCTGATGTTAATGAAAATCCTGGAGGACACTTCATTGCTTGGTGTTGTATGGTCATGTCATGATTCTGAGTGTATTCATTTCATGAAAATTACACAGCATTTGTGGTAACGTGATTATATGGGATTAAGGCTGGCATGTCCTGTGCTGCATCCTTATCTTCAAATTGGAGAGAGGGGATTTGAAGGCTGGACTATTGGATGAAGGATTGGTTGGGTGCTTGTAGACAGAGTTGTTGTCAATGGCTTTGTACCCATGAGGTGGCTGGTCATGAGTGGTGTCCCTCAGAGGTCTATCTTGGAATCAATACTCTTCAGCATCTTTATCAGTGACATACAGTGGGATTGAGTGTACCCTCTGCAAGTTTGCTGATGGCACCCAGCTGAGCAGTGCAGTTGGCACAATAGAAGGGAGGGACACTATCCAGATAGACGTGTGAGGTGAGAACACATGAGAATCTAATGAGGTTTAACATGGCCAGCTGCAAGGTGTTGGTTGCACTTGGATTGAGGCAATCCCAGCTATGAGTACAGACTGGGAGAAGAGCTCTTTGAGAGCTGGGGATTCTCAACAGCCTGATTTAATGATTGGCAATCCTACCCAAGGCAAGGGTGTTGTAACTTGATGATCTTTAAGGCCCCCTCCAACATAAACCATTCTATGACTTACAATAAAGTCAGTCATAGTAATTACTGGAGGTGGAAGTTGCTGCCAGACATGGAAACTACAGCATGGATTGCTTCTGGAAGTCTGATTTAGGAATACATTGCAGTAGCAAGAGCTTAACACTAAAAGACAAAGCAGTGTCAGGAGCTGCTGCTGACTCTGCCTCTCTGTAATTTTCAGTAGAAAGCACTGAGCCATAAAATGGTGGTAGAATCCTGCAGACTGAACTTGTGGCAGGATTTTGAGAGCTTTCAAAGGGAATGGATTTATCAAGTCAGCCTGCCAACTTGGCCTTCCAGTCTTTAATACTCTGTTCTTTTTGTATTCTGTATCTCCCATCTGTTCTATTTCATTTCTTCAGGAAGATAATCCCTACCTTCCACTGAGAGCAAACAGCTGAAAACCACTTCTTTTTCAATCTGTATATGTGTATATACATACATATATATGTGAAATTTTAAAATGTCATAAAACAAAGGAGTTTTTCAAACATGAGATATTAATATTCATCATTATGAAGTTGCTGCAGTTCAAAGTAATCAGCTGTTTAATCATCCTTGATTATCAGCATGAACAGAAGTGGAAATTGTGAAATGTAATCAAAATGTTTGACTAGCCTTTCTGTGGCTGGACCTAAATTATCTACTAGAGTATTCTGCTGCTGATCTATTTCAGAGCCTGCAGAAGTGTTTCTTTGCGTGGAAACTGTAAGATTTGGAATTAAAATTGTCATTTTTGTATCCTTGACCCTACACAGCACTGAGGCTTGTGGCTGAAAAGGGGAACCAGGAAGTACTCCAAAGCCCAAAGTGCAGATATAGCATTTTACCTTTGGTGTGTGAGAACATTGTGTTATAATACAAGCTGTATAGAAACAAATGAAAAACAAGTAGTACACCTTTTATAAAATATTATTCCGAGTCAATGTATATACATTATAGACATGGCACTTTACATGTCACATATGTCTCCAAGCACAACAATTCAAGCTGTCTTTCTGTGTTATTCCTGTGTTTTGAGTTGAGTCATTCTTGCATCTGGATTATATTATTTATTTCTGTATTAAAGAAGAAATC